TGGCCCGGGCTGGGGATTTGAACCCGCCACCTTAGGTGTATGTGGCTGGCGCCTTAGCTGCTTGAGCCACAGGCGCCGAGCCACCTTCTTGATGTTTTAATATATATCTTTTCCTGAAGCAGACATTGTACATAGACTCTTATTTCTTTTTATTCTTTACATACTAGAACTGTCAGTTAGACTTTCTCTAGTTTAGTATCTTCTAAAGAGATAGGATGGCCTCTAAAGAGGTACTTGTGTGGTAAAACTTTATTTCAGGTGTCACCCAAAATAAATCAAAAGTATAGCTACTATGAGCTCCAAACCTTAGCCTCATCTGTTTTCTTCTATTGTTACAGAAATTATTTTCCCCTGTTAGTATACTTGAGGAAGTCCCACCGATGAATAGGTCATGTACTTTTCCTGATGGTTTCCATGAATTTAATAACCTTCATATAGACTTTGTACTGGTTGATGCTTCCCCTCTATAATTAAGAGAAATCATGCCGGTGTTCTCACAACACACTGAAATATATGGTCCATTAGTATATCTGGAAATATCTAGTTTGGGGGGTTGAATTTTGACCATCATTCTTGTAGCTACCTTTCCTTTTGATTTTCTACCTTCCCCTGAAATTCTGGAAGTCTTATCTTAATTGGCCGGTTTACAATGGGCTTATTTTGTGGAGAGTTGAAATTAGCATTTTCATGCATCCTGTTAAAGGAAGAGGAGAGAGAGGGGAGGGGAGGGGGATATTGGAAGAGGGAGGGTATTTGGGGGGACCTCACCTAATGTGCATGATGCAATGGTACACTTCAAAACTATTAAGAAATGTGTATAATTGTGATGGATGTGTTACTTGGTTCAATGTAAACATTTCACATTGTATATCAAAGCAGTACCCTGAACCCCATAAATGCATCAATGTATAAAGTTGCGATTTAATAAAAACTTTTAAAAAATCTTCTTAATCAATAGTATTTCCTTTTTTTTTTTTTTTTTTTTGCAGTTTTTGGCCTGGGCTGGGTTTGAACCCGCCACCTCCACTATATGGGGCTGGCGCCCTACTCCTTTGAGCCACAGGTGCTGCCCAGTATTTCCCTTTTTAATGTCTTTGTTTTAAGATAATGATTGTTAAAAGTTTCAAAAGCCATGTAAACGTTAAAATTCTTGTATGCTTAAATGTTCAGTCTTACCAAAACTAACAATTCTTTCTTTCCAATCAATTTTCACAAAAGAGGTCTCTCCATCCCACCAGAGGTGTGATTGCCACTGCCTTTCCTTTGCCCTTGACTAGGGGAAAACATTTCCTTGAAGTTTTATAGCTTTTTATAAATGAATCCTGATAATGATTAAGAGAAACTGTTTTTCTATCCATGACGGCTGGGCCCTGATTCTCCCTGCAGTTCAGATTTCCTCTCAGAGCAGTGGTTTTCTGGATGGTAATTCTATCGTAAGGTGTCAAACTATTTTCAAATGCTGCATTTGCCATTTCTTGGCTTTTTCTAATATTAAGCAGCTCCATGCAAATGCTCCTGTTTTATAAATAGAGAATGTCATATTCTACCTACTCCATCTTGATAGTTAAAAGATTTTTGAAGCCTGTGTGTATATTGGTCAAATTGTATTTTTGTTATTGGTGGAAAATCAAATTTCGGTATTAACCATCTAGTACATTTAGTACATTGTCCACCAATGACCTCTGTAGTAAAAAGTTTTTATTTGTATGGATAAAGCATGATGGATATAGCTATCAGAATCCTCCTGCATTCGCGTATGCATATTTTAAGGCTTATGTTCTCCGATAATGTAAGCTCTTCTTTTCCATTGTTTCTGGATATTTGTTTTTTCTACATTTGCTTATTTCCTTGCCTTAGTACACATTTTATGAAGTGTATATTACACTAGGCTTGATTTGAAACAGGTGCTTCTTATAGACAGATCAGTAAAACTCTTTGTAAATTGTCATCTTTTGGTAAATAGATGAGTTAGTATGCTTGAGATTGATCCTGCTGCCAAAAGTAGCACTGGGGACTAGCGGTGGGGACTGCTGCCCGCCATGGGGGATTGACCCAATCTAAACTTTGATGTTCAACTTTTTTTTTTTTTTTTTGGCCTGGGCTGGGTTTGAACCCACCACCTCTGGCATATGAGGCTGGCGCCCTACCCTTTTGAGCCACAGGTGCCGCCTTATATATTTTTTTTTCATGTCAGACGGGTAACGTGCCGACGACATCATAACAAGATTTGTGGGAGGCACATCTCATGAATGCGCATGAAAACCCAATCATCATGCTTATGAACTACAAAAGGATCTGAGTTTAACTTTTTAGATTAATGACTATAAACAATGGTAATAAGAATGTATATTATAGGCTTCAATGTTTACATAAATGTTACCCAAAAAGCTGTATTGGGGGGGAATTCAAGGTCAAGATGTATGAAACACAAGATGTCATATGAAGAAAACAAGTTTTGCAATTAGGCGCACCTTCATAATTCACAAGTTAAATTTAATCCACGTTGAAATTTTGTTTCATCTGAATTTATATTTAACTCTATGAATTTACTTGTTTTTAATCATTAGTAATATTTTAATGGGTATCTTTTTAAAGTAAAAGCAGTAAATATGTGTACATATTTTTAAAAAGTCACCCGGGAGGTTAGGATCTATGCAGAGACCATAGAACCAACCTGCTTCCCGCTCCCTGCTGCCGGGTTTTGCACTGATTCTCAGGAGGGAGGAGGCCGCTGCAATGGAGTCAGGGCCAGCCAGCAGTAAAGCTGTGTTTCTTGGCATTTCTGCCAGTTCCCCTCGTGGCAGACTTCTGTAACTGCACTGGGAGACCCACGTACCACTGTCCTCCTCTGTGAGATACTTCATTCTATCAGAATTTACTCACCCTAGAGTTCACTCCCACCCTAGCCCCATTCCCTGAACCCTCCCGTCACCCATCACAGTATCTAAATAGTCAGAAAATGGGATTGCTGTGCTTGAATTTAACACCGCCTACCATGCCTCTTATCCTCTGCATGCATTTAGTTACCTCCTGAAGCATACAGCCCCTCACCTGCACACCTGCCTCAGTGCACACCTCGCCGGATTGGAAGAAGTCCTGGTACCTACAGCAATTTGCTTTGTGTGTTCTCGCAATACCAACATGCTCAGAAGCACTTGCTTCACTCCGCAGTCCTATCTGTAACCTCCGGCAGATAACTCAAGTGAAAGGCTGGAGGACAGAGCCCGGCCCCGTCAGTTCCTACGTGTGCCTCAGACACCCGGCACATGGGTCCACCCCTCTCATCTCCTGGGTTTAGCCCAGTCTTACAGAATGGGCTCCGTGGAGATCCAAACACATTAGCTATTTGTTAGGTGAGCTTGTTCCCAGCATCTAACAGGTATTCTGTTTGTGACTGAATCTCAAGGGAATAAAGTGAAAAGAGGGTCCAGTGTCCTTTGGATGAAGGTTTATCTTTACAAAGCAAGAGCCACCTGTGAACTTTTAATCTTCAGAACAAATTCCGGGCCTATGCCAGTCTGTCCGCAGGACCCAAAGTCTTAGCTCCATTCTGAGGCGTGATGTTGATGAGTCAAGCTCAGTGACAGCTCCTGGTTCCTCACTTTTCTTGGGCAGCTTCTGTAGAGCTGAAATTCCTGCCATCTGTGCCAGTACAGGTTGATCCCAGCTCTGTTACTGACAAGCAGCTGAAAGGGCTGGGAGCTGATGGGCTGGTTCCACAAGGTATTAGTGTTAATCATCAGAGGTCAAGTCTATTGGTCTCAAAGAAACCCTGTGCATCTGGGATCCACGCATCTCCATGCTGGCTTTGTGTCTTTTCAAGGTTCACATCTTCAGGGTCCCACTGTGGAGAAAAGACACAAAGGGTACCTGGGTGGACGAGATCCTTCCCATCTATTATAATCTCCCACCCCAGGTAGCAGCTCCAACCCTAATTCTCGAAGACAAATGGGTAAGGACAAGTTACCTAGGCCCATGTTTATAGGTCTTAAGGGGACAAGTGTAACTTTAAATGAAGGAATTAAGGAGCAGCCATCCTAAACAGACCAGCCCCACTTCCCTTCCCACCTTCTTTTTCCAATGTCCCTGCTTTCACCAGGTTCTTATCTAGTGAGATTGAGTCATGTTCTCTTTATTCTGAGAATTCTTACCTCCAGGTGTAGCTCATACCTGGAAACAATCAGTCAAACTCAACCCATTCTTTATAGCCCAGGTAATAGCCCCATCCTCCAGGAAGCCTCCGTTGAGTGCTTTAGCCCATTCAGCTGCTACCCCCTTCTCTCTTTGTATAATCTCTACCACTCATTTTCACCTGAGCTCGGACTGCCTGGCCTTTCTTTGGACAAATGCCTTGTTTTCTCATGATGAGCTCCTTAGGTGAGGGCGTGGGTGTTTCCTGGCCCCCCTGCCCAGGGTTCCTTTCTATCTGAGGCTCAGCAGATTTGTCAAAACTCCAATTCAGAGTGGAGGGCACTGCCAGTGAATAGTTCATCACTTTGATGCTAAGTTTGGAAAATTGAAATTTGCAGGGGTAAAAGTGAAAGGTTAAAAAAAAAAGGAGGGGGGATTAAGCACTGATGAAGCTTTTGCAAAGTCCTATTCTATTATGATGGATTAGTGAAAGAACTTTGCACCTGGGTCAAGATCAAGCAGCTCCCTAGCACTGCTGTTGGTTCCAGCCACAGAGGCCAGGGGATTGGGCAAAAGTCCTCCTCCCGTCATTTAAACTGCTGCTTTCACTTTGGGCCTCGGTTTCCTCAGGTGTAAGTGGTGGTGTCGGATCAGCAACTAGATAATAAGATCTCTTCCATTCTGAACTTCTGTGACTGATGATTCTGAGGCCCAAGGAAAAAAACAAGCAAAGGTGATACAGAATGTGTCCCTGGGCCATGTGATCTATTTGGGCAAGATAAAGAGCCAGTCCTGGCCATGCACTCCAAGACGAGACGCTTGACCAGTTCCTCAATCTCAAGCTGGATCAGTCCTTAGAGGTCCCAAATAAAGTCTCCAAGGCTCCCTGATCCATGGACAGAAACAAAACACAAACTATGGCTTTGCTTTGGACAGAAATAAAAGAGCCCAATTCAATTAGTGATTCACCAACAATAACTGAGCTGAGTTCTAATACTTGGTGTTTAAAAAATCCATCACGTTAAAAAGAACATCTCATCCCCAGTGACCCTGCAAGCCAGGGACTAAGATGACTTGGTTCACGTAGTTCAGCCCCCAGTACCTGTTTGGGGCTGTGCCAGCCACTACAGTATAAACATCTCATTTACTTGGAATTACAAACTTGGCTAGACACCTTTAACCACCTGACCTTAGCAAAGACCCCAAGTAAAAGAGCTCATCAGGCCCCTCAGACTATATAGTCCCATGTGCCCAGATGCAGAAGTAGGGCCCGTTCTTTTTGAGCATGGCTGTGGGCTCTTTGAGGAATGCTGTTTTCAAACTGAGGCCTGACGCCTAGATTACTGTTCTCAAATTGTGTCCTGTACCAACTACGACAGAAGCACTCAGGCTGCTGACTAAAAAGACTGAGGCTGGAGGCCCATCCTAGCACCTATCTGTGGATTGAGACCTAAGGTTTGGCATTTTTGCAAGCTCTGAGGAGGATTCTTAGAAGCCCTGATGATCAAGAACCACTGCTCTCGCTTCTTAAATGGCTTCTTCTGAGTTATTCTTGTGAGTCCTGACCAGGGCAGCTGCCTGCCAGTCTAAGTAAACTCTTTAAAGTGGCACAAGTCTTAGAAAATTTAAAAATATCTTTCTTAAGAATCCCCAGAATAGGTTTGGTACCCACAGCTCAGTGATTAGGGCGCCAACCACATACACTGAGGCAGGGAGGTTCGAACCCGGCCTGCTTAAACAACAACGACAACTGCAACAAAAAAATAGCCAGGCATTGTGGTAGGTGTCAGTATTCCCAGCCACTTGGGAGGCTGAGGCAAGAGCATCACTTAAGCCAGAGTCTGAGGTTGCTGTGAGCTGTGAGGTCATAGCACACAAGGGGTGACATAAGGAGATTTTGTCTCAAAAAAAAAAAAAAATCCCCAGAATAATTTTTTTTTTTTTGAGACAGAGTCTCGTTTGGTCACCCTTGGTAGAGTGCCGTGGCATCTTAGCTCACAGCAACCTCAAACTCTTGGGTTCAACTGATCCTGTTGCCTCAAGTAGCTGGGACTACAGGCACCCACCACGGCCCCTGACTATTTTTTAGAGACGCGGGGGTGAGGGGTGTCACTTTGGCTCCAGTTGGTCTTGAACTTGTGAGCTCAGGCAATCTACCCACCTCAGCCCCCCAAGTGCTGGGATTACAGGTGTGAGCCACTGCACCCGGCTCCCAGAATAATGTCCCTTAAGACTTCATTTTAAGTAATCAAGAACATCGCTGGAAGCAAGGCATAAACAGAATTTGAGCAAAATATGATCTATTTTCATATCAGCAACAATCTTGGGAGACAACAGGCACAGATAGTTACCATAAAACATGTTCATCTGTCACTTGGAGGCAAGGGTGGCACGGAGACAGCAGCCAGCTGCCTGAGGTCTCAAAATGACAATGTGTAGAACTGTTTATTTCAACAGCCACGGCAGCCGCACCCAGCACCACCGCCATTAGTGACCTGCAGCTACTCTGCTTGCTCACAGACCTTTGCTCCAAACCATGTTTCGTCATGTTACACACTTCTGAGTCCTTACCAGATAGTCTGGGCTCACCTGAAGACCTCCAAAGCAGAGAGAACTCTGAACTGTGAGAGCCTGAAAACCCCACTGATCCTCAGACTTGCCTCTCATGTTTATATTCTTTTATTTTTAGGGAGAGAGGGGGGTCTTGTTATTTTGTCCAAGCTGGTCTTGAACTCCTGGCCTAAATGATCCTCCCACCTCGGCCACCCTAAGTGCTGGGATTATAGGCACGAGACACCATGCCAGGCCTTTTACATCTTTTTCTTACTAAAAGACTTTATCATGGGCCAAGCCATCCAAGGAGGTCTAACAAAAGCAGGAACTGAAATCAAGCCATAACAAGTCCCTCCTGGAAGAGAGCGCGTGAGTGTCCATACCTGCTCGGAGTTTAGGGCCTCCCAATACTTCTGCTGCAGAATAAAAAGAGATAAAGCGTTGGACAGATTCTGCCACCGTCACAGAGCAGAGCAGAGCTCAGTGCCAGCCTGTCTGCTCAGTGAGCCAGAAGACAGGCCCTCAGATGGTTGGGGACAGCTGACTTCAGCAAGCAGGAAGGCAGCAGCTATTAGTAGTTAAATGATCAATAGCATAATTGCAATAATTATGACGGGCTGCAGATCCTGGGAAAAATCATAATCTATAGAGATTTACAAATTACTATTATTAGAAATTATTCTTAGGAGTAGTAATTACAATAAACCTCCCATTTATTAACCACGTGGCTGAGATGATTCACCTCAAACCCATAAAACTAAGAAAGGGAACTGCCAATAAAATCCCCACCTTGCAAATATCAGGTATTCGCTACCAGCCAAGATTCCTCTGTAATCAGTGTTTACTGCATGCTTGGTTCCATTCCAGACCTCAAATATGTCTGACTCAAGTTCTTGAAGGGCAGGCATCCCTGTCTGCTCGTTGCTCCAGCCTCTCCAGCACATGCTGCCTGGGGGATGTGGATTTCTGACACAGAGCTATGAATCTTCAAGGATCTGTTACACTGATTTGTGAGAATCTATTAAATTGAACAGCAGCCAACCTGAACAGTTCGCAGGTTTGGGGGTTATTATCACATTAAAACAGAGCTTCTACTGTTCAACTTTTTTTTTTTTTTTCCCTGAGTCAGAGTCTCAAATTGCCACCCTGGATAGAGTGGAGTCATAGCTCACAGCAACCTCCAACTCTTGGGCTCAAGCAATCCTCTTGCTTCAGTTTTTTTGATTTTTGGTAGAGATGGTGGTGAACAAAAGCCCGAACGCTTTTGTTCAGGCTGGTCTCAGTTGTCAGCTCAAGTTATCTACTTGCCTCGGCCTCCCAGAGTGCTAGGATTACAGGCATGAGCCACCGTTCCCGGCCTTTTTTTTTGAGACAGAGTTTCACCCTGTCTCCCAAGCTAGAGTGCCGTGGTATCTTAGCTCATAGCAACCTCAAACTCTTGGGCTCAAAGAGATCCTCCTGCCTCAGCCTTCCAAGTAGTTGGGCCTATGAGCCCTCACCACAACACCCAGCTAATTTTTCTATTTTTTAGTAGAGATGGGGTCTTGCTCTTGCTTAGACTAGTCTTAAACTCCTGAGCTTAAGGGATCCATCTGCCTTGGCCTCCCCGAGTGCTAGGATTACAAGCATGAGCCATTGTGCCTGGTTTACTGTTCAACTCTTAAATTTTCTTTTTTTCTTTTCTTTCTTCTTCTTTTTTTTTTTTTGTAGTTTTTGGCCGGGACTGGGTTTGAACCCAGCACCTCCGGCATATGGGGCTGGTGCCCTACTCATTTGAGTCACAGGCGCTGACCCTCTTAAATTTTCTTTTAAAGGGGCTCACAGTAACCTCAAACTCCTAGGTTCAAGTGATTCCCCCTGCCACAGTTCCCTGAGTAGCTGGGACTATAGGCACCCTTCATAACACCTTGCTAATTTTTCTATTTTTAGTAGAATCAGGTCTTTCTCTTGCTTAGGTTGGTTTAAATTTTCATTTTGCTTATTTATTTTCAGAGAGTCTCACTTTGTCACTCTTGGTAGAGTGCCTGTGGCATCATAGCTCACAGCAACCTCAAACTCTTAGACTCAAGTGATTTTCTTGCCTCAGTCTCCCATGTAACTGGGACTACAGGTGCCTGCCACAACGCTCAGTTATTTTTAGAGATGGGGGCCTCCCTCTTGCTCAGGCTGGTCTCGAACTCATGAACTCAGGCAATCTACCCACCTTGGCCTCCCAGAGTGCTAGGATTAGGTGCATGAGCCACCACGCTGAACTCTAAATTTTCATTTTAAATGACTGTTTAAAGAATTTTCAGGGCAGTACCTGTGGCTCAGTGGTAAGGGCACTGGTCCCATATATGGAGGGTGGTGGGTTGGAACACAGCCCTGGCCAAACAGCATCAAAAAAACAATCAGGCATTGTGGTGGGCGCCTGCAGTCCCATCTACTCAGGAGGTTGAGGCAAGAGAATCACCTAAGCCCAGGAGTTGGAGGTTGCTGTGAGCTATGATGCAACAGCACTCTACTGAGGGCAATAAAAAAAAAATTTAAAGCATTTTCAATCATAAACAAAAGCAAGAGAATGATCTAATGCAGCAGTTCTTAACCTGTGGGTCGTGTCCCTTTTGTAACAATGAAAATATACCCTGTGTATCAGATATTTACATTATGATTCATACCAGTAGCAAAATTACAGTTATGAAGTAGCAACGAAAATAATTTTATGGTTGAGGGTCACCACAACATGAGGAACTGTATTAAAGGGTCATGGCATTAGGAAGGTTGAGAACCACTGATCTAATGAATCTAGCTCTCCAATTATTCTATTTGCTAGAGTATTCAAAGTAAATCATTCATCACTAAATATTTCAGAATGTATCTCATAAATAAGAATTTTTTGAAAATATCCCCTAAGTACAGTACCTAACAAAATTAGTGTTAATTCCTAGCATTCATCTTTTAATGACATCCTGCTGGGGGAACATAAACTGAAACAAAATCAGAAGAGAAACAAATTACTAAAAATGGTTCCACACGCATTGCAAAAAGCAGACATGTCGATGACACAAAACAGGGACTGAAAAACTTAAATAACTTACACTTATAATGGAAATAAGGCGATTAAAGAAAAAATGCTAACTTTCACCTTTCTCTAGAAAATGTGGGTCTTCATGCAAAACAAATAATCATCTGTGGTTATTATAGTTAGTGTTTTAAAAAAACATTACATGCAATGTGGTATTCTGGATTGTCTCCTAAGAAAATTAATAGAAAAACAGGTGAAATCCAGTTTCATAGGTGCGTACTCATGTTAATTTCTTAGTTTTGCTATAGGTAGCATGGTTTGTATAAGCTCCGAACTTAGGGAAACTGGGTAAAGTTCATACAGAAACTCCATACTAGTTGTGCAACTTTTTTGTAAATCTAAAATTATTCAAATTCTAAAGTTTATTTAAAACCAAGCAAGCAAATAGGCTTGAGTCCCACTACTGGATTGAAGTGAAACCTTGAAACTTTTTTCCAAAGCTTGTGCACCAGTCTAAACTTTAAGAAGAGTGTCCTCTAGTGGATGTAGTAGTTAATTTTTGTTGTTGTTAACTTTCTAACCCACTATCTAGAATGTGCCTGAAGGAGTAACCCAAATCTCTGTAAGTGAGGACCCCTCCAAAAAACCCTGAAAATAAATACAATGTTATCGTCTGTTCCAAGTTTCAAGAGGAAAAATACGTTCAAAAAGCAAAATGTCTCATAATTTTATCCCTATAAGAAAACCTCTCTAGCTACTGATAGCCCTCTGAAACAGATGGAGAATACCAGGGGTACCAAAAAAAAGTATACACATTTTAAGAGATCTTGTTGGAAGTGAAATCGAAATTGATCATTCCTCAAAAGTGTATGAATGGCCAGTAAAATGACTATGCATAGCATGTCTGGGTTCACTTGACCAGCAAGGGCATCTTCAATTCAACTTCAAAAAGTACTTGTACTCTTTTTTTTTTTTTT